CGGATCAGATCGGATATTCGGATTTTTGAAATTAATATTTTTTATCTATTTCGGTTTAAATGGATACTAAATTTTACTGTTTACGTCGTTTTAATTTAAAACATATATCCGAATTTTTTCAGATCTAAACAAATAACGAATCGAATCTCAACAGATAATTTCCCCAATCCTATCCATATGCGTACAATTATTAGTCACATGCAGGTCAATTTAATAATATATTATCTATATATAAGAAATGCAACTACTCTTATCGAATTACAAGAACTTGACCCCACGACACAAATTTGGGATCACGAAAAATGAAAAGATTTTTTATTAATAGTTTTTGTTTTATCTTTGCAGTTTTTGTTATTCTTTTAAATGGGTGAGTTTCTCCACAATTTAAAATACTTAATAAAATATTATTATTTTCCAATTTAAGAAACTCATGTGAGATATTTCATTTAAAGTGCTCTTATGTAAAACTTGGTGTCTCTCACCAAATATGACACATGAAATTGTAATTAACGGAATAACGACATGTCCTCTTGTTTGTTGAATGAAATGTAAAAATATAACTCAATCAAAAAGATTTTTACAATGAATATTACGCTACGTTAGAAATAAATTTGAGATATTAAAATTACGACATATCAATCAAAAATATTACCGGATTTGGCTCAATTTTTTTGAACCCCCAATCACAATATCTTGTTCATCAGATTTTACAATGACCGGAGACACCTCAATCCGGCCACCTCTAAACTCCCTCTGAGTTTCCTCCTCTATCTGATTCAACTTCTTTGATAAGTTTCAAATTTGGATCTACTACTACTCATGCAGCATGGGGTCTTTCACAGATGAAGTCAGCCCTAATGGTTCTTGTGGTTTCAGTCTTCAACATAGCATCATCATAACATGTGGTGCGATTCGAACTTGGACACATATATTCTATTTTTTTCTGTTTATTTTTTATAAATAATTATTTAATGGGCCTAAAAGTTTTGCTTGCAGCCCAAACTTAATTAATTTTACTCAAGATATTACTTCATTTCAAAACGCAATGACCGTTATAATTACCTTCAATCAGGTTTGGATCATGCGTACATTATTTTAAAATTCAAAAAATGTAATCGACGAAGGCTATAAGACCGTTATAATTTCCTATGTTCAGATCCAAACCTACAACTTTAACCGACCCAGATCACTACATATATATGAACTTCAAGTCAGAGCAATTTTTTTTATTCTTATCTCTCTATCGTTTTCTTCCTCGGAGTATTTGTTCTTTGAGGTTTTTGTTCTTCTGCTATGTTACGAGAGGGACGTCAAATTCATGAAAAAAGGTAAAGAAATCGACTCTTTTGATTTCTATCAAAATTCTTCTTCTTCATCGTTCTGATTTTGG